TCCAAATTCGTTGTTAGACTAAATTATTGATTTTCACGCTCATCTTCTTCGCCACTGTGATGTTTCTCATGAGATAAGGCTCAATTATTCGAAGTTCATTGAAAAATGTATTACTAAAATGAAATTTCAAATCACAGGGCCCTGCCCAATGACGTAGCAGATACTTTTTTCACAATAAACATTCCAGGCACATGTACCGGAGAGATTTGTACACTAAAAAAATGAATAATTTCATCTTGACATTACAATGATATTGTTCACAATCCATCAATTCGCAGATAACTACAGTTCCACAACGACTACCTCAATCAAAACATGACATCCAATGTACACGCAGTGAAACAACTTTAGCTAGCTTCAATGATCTGTTTCTGTATCGGTGCGTGCAGTCTTACTAAACAACTTGTTTAGTAAGATACAATAGCAATGAAGGTTTTCCCGTCATTAATGATAATTATATTCAGTGCAGTGTGTGGTGAATCTGCAAAAATATTAGGAGTATTTCCGAGTAACGGATACAGTCAGTTTATTTTAGCTGAGAAGTTAATGAGTGAGTTGGCAAAACGGGGTCACAATGTGACAGTCNTTTGAAACGGAAAAATGAACTAAGAAAGTTGAAAAATCTATCCAACTATTATATGCAGCTATATGTTGAGGAGAGACGAACATTGAAAAAACTAATTGATACGTGCTATAAAGAATACATAAAAAATATAGAAAATGCCATTAATAACGATTCAAAACATTTCTGGTCATATACGAAAAGCAACAAAAAAACTAATAACTCTTCCCTCATACTCAAGCTACAGGGCTACCGAGTGAAAGAAAGTGAGTCTGCAGATTCTTTTGGCAAATATTTTCAATCTGTCTACAGTAATGACCAGGCGACTTACAGTATCAACTTTGCAGGTGATGTTGAAACCCGTCTCACAATCGATGAAGTAACCGACAGCTATTACTTTGAAGCTTTAAAAAAACTCAAGCCAAAAAAATCTGCAGGAAGTGATAAAATACCACCATATATTATTAAAGGATGTAGAGTATGGCTGAAGCAACCTCTTCTTCATATCTATAATTCATCAATAAAATCAAATGCGTTTCCAGACTTATGGAAGGAAGCATTAGTGACACCTATCCATAAGTCTGGCAGGGTTTCTGATATTGAAAACTATAGGCCAATAGGAGTGATGTGTGCTATTGCGAAACTGTATCTATATAAAAGTGTTAGAGATTTAAGAGAAAATTATCGAGATCATCTAGTTATTCCTTTTGATCTACTTTTTATTTGTGACATGAAGGTTAACAATTCATTTTCGCTGAACAATGTCAAGTCAAGGAATGATGTGATAGAATCATTCACATTATTACTGTAAAATTGTTCCAGATTTGGGCCAACCTTACTACACCGTTGTTGCGAAGCAATAAAAAAATCATTCATGTTGTTAGGATCACATAAATGGGAGGGAAGATTCAATATAGCTTTTTCATTGTGAATATCGAGTTTTTTTAGTTTCAATCATAGATCTCTAGAGTTATTATGGTTATTATTAGAGACGATGTATTCTAGATAAGCTTTCTTTTCTCGCACAATAGAAGATTTAGTGAAGTTTCTAAGAGATTTGTAATAATTCCAATCTTCAGCTTTACCGGTTTTTTTGAATTTGTTTCTGGCTTCATCTCTTATTTTCATCATAAACTTCACATTGTCTGTAATCCATGGTGTATAAGGTTTGGTAAAAGTTCTTGTGACATATGGTGCATGATTATTGAACAACATGTGGATTTTAAAACAAAAAAAACTGATTTTTTCATCAATATTTTCTGAAATATACAAGGGATAACTCATTTGTAAAATAAACATAGTTGAAATTTTTAAAATTTCGGAAAGCTCGCGTAACAGGGTTGTGTTTAACAATGATTTCAGGAGCATAACAATAAACTAGAAAATGATCTGAAACATGATGTAAGTCCATTGTGCCACAATCAGACTATTTGAAATTAACGTGAACGATAATGTAGTCCAACAGAGAACATGATAATTGTGTTACTCTTGTTAGCGAATTTATAATTTTTTTCAATTCGTAAGTATCTAAGATGTCTGTGATTGTATTCTTCGTTGTTGTAGACAATATGGTTACCTGGGGAACACCAGCATTGATGGTTTAAAGTATTCGAAAGATACTCATCGACGGTCACTTGCAGAAACGTTCTTTCAATAAGCTGGAAAGCCATACACAAAAATGATCTGACTAGCCATAGCATCGAAGTTTGGCCAGCAAATCCTTATGACACACACGGTCAGAGGTCCTAGAGAAATCAATCGCAACAGGTCTTGGATCTCCATGTTTTTCGTTTGCGGTATGATAAAAGGTCGCCTGTTGATCTTTATTTCCGGAAGCCATATTGATGATTGCTCAAGGTGTTGACGCCTTTCAGATATTTATGGATACGATGGTTCATGGCTTTCTCCATGATTTTTGATATCATTGATGGCAAAGCGACCGACCAGAAGGATCTTGACTCGTTGGGATTGACAATCAGTTCATCCCTAATTTTCTGATTGTAAAGCTGTTTGCTTTCATGTATTCTAAATGTGCAGCTGTTATGAGCATAAACGAACTTCGGTTTTCGGCAGTGAAGGAGTCAGCTTGCTCGTAATTTTCGTTGAATCAAGGTTTGTCGTTAAAAGTTCGTTTCATTGAAGGAGGAATATAAATAAATAAATAAATAAAATATTTATTAATCCGTTCAACTATTGTTAACAATAGATATTATAAGTCAAAAACAGTGTCATTAAGTTTTAATTGACAAACAGGACGAAACAAGCACAATGNTTAAAAGTAGATTTTTCGAAAAATCCATTCAATCCAGTTCACATTGAGCTACCGAACAATTTTCAAATAAATATGCAGCTATTTGTGAAATAAACATAGAAAACTTCTCACAGTCGGTATGAAACTTTACCACAGACTTCGATAGTTCGTTTTGTTAATGGCAGAAAAACTAAATTGGTGGGGAATTCGTCCGACTCTGACCATTTCAAAGGTCACATATCACGAGAAGCTGTGCTGTGTTTTGTGGTGAAGCTGAAGTTTTGTGATAAATAATTTCCCAACTTTGCTACAACTGATCAAATTCAAACGATTCCTAAAGTTTTGTTTCCATTTTTACAGATAGTCTACTGGATTGGGCCAACCTTGGTATTTTCAGAGCAATCACAACATTCCACAATTTCTGCTACATGCTCACTGAACATATATTGTCACATAAAAAAGTACAGGATCTTTTACTATCGAACGAAACATTTGATTTGGTAATAGTTGAACAGTTTGGAAATGAAGCACATATGGGCTTCGCGTCTCACTTCAGTGCCCCACTGGTGACTTTCAGTTCGATAGGTTTGTCAGAATGGAACTCCCATTTGGTAGGAAATATTAAACTGCCATCAATTGTACCATTCAGTCTCAGTTCTCACTCCAATCATATGAACTTCATTCAACGTGTGACTAATACGATGGCACATATTTTTGATGCTATATATAAAGAACTAATCTACTTTCCTTGGCAGCAATCGATGTTGGACAAATATTTTCCACAGAAAATGGATCTGAAAACAATCATGTTCAACACCAGTTTCATGTTGCTGAATTCTCATAGCATCAGTACCGAACCAGTGCAGTTAACCAGTTCAGTGGCGGAGATAGGAGGGTTTCATATAACTCCAAATGAACTTCCAAAAAGTGTACAAGAATTTTTAGATGGTGCTGAGAATGGAGTGATTCTGTTCAGTTTGGGATCTAATTTGAGATCAAGCGACCTACCGAGAGGAACTCTAGACATGATACTCGAAGTGTTCAGAAGAATACCACAACGAATAATCTGGAAATTTGAGGAAACCGATATTCATCATAAGCCTGACAATGTAATGATATCCAAATGGATGCAGCAAAGCGACATATTAGGTAAAGTATATCGTAATAGGAAATCTTTTAATGATTTCATTGATGAATACATTGGCTTATATTGTTTGTCACAATACACAACTGTATTCATATTCACTGAACTATCATGAATTAGAAAATTTCATAGTTCATATCTTGTATAATACATTCTTCATACGGTTTTAAGTAAGAGGTCTGTTCAAAAATAGGAATGTTGGAATTTTGTAGAATACTTANCACTTATCTGCTGTTGTTATTTGAATCAAAAACGCACGAGAGAAATTGAGGAATGTTGAAGGTGACAAAACATAAAATGTTACTGGTAATTGAACTGCACTTTCGAATAACAGATAAAAATACTTGAAAAATCGTCGAAAATTCAACTGTGAAAGATGATGGAAACTTCTATCTTTCACCATTAGATTCCCACTGAATCCAAGAAAGGACTCTGGGAAAATCTTTACATTGAATTCAGACAACTCTTGATTCGCGGAGGTGAGGGCGCAGGTCGGTTTTTGAGTTTTTATATAAATTCAATTATATGTGCTAAAAAGGGTTAACAAATCAATAGCTTCCATTTAGATGCCATCTACAGAAGTCTCTGGAAATACTGTACACCCTTTTCAACACTTATCACTGTAGACCAACTTAGTTATACCGGAATAGAAGACAATACTTCAAGAATATCAATGAGGTTCTGCTCTATTTATTTTCGCAAAAACTGTTTTGAAACGATGTGTTAGAAGTAGATTTTTCGAAAAATCCATTCAATCCAATTCACATTGAGCTACCGAACAATTTTCAAATAAATATGCAGCTATTTGTGAAATAAACATAGAAAACTTCTCACAGTCGGTATGAAACTTTACCACAGACTTCGATAGTTCGTTTTGTTAATGGCAGAAAAACTAAATTGGTGGGGAATTCGTCCGACTCTGACCATTTCAAAGGTCACATATCACGAGAAGCTGTGCTGTGTTTTGTGGTGAAGCTGAAGTTTTGTGATAAATAATTTCCCAACTTTGCTACAACTGATCAAATTCAAACGATTCCTAAAGTTTTGTTTCCATTTTTACAGATAGTCTACTGGATTGGGCCAACCTTGGTATTTTCAGAGCAATCACAACATTCCACAATTTCTGCTACATGCTCACTGAACATATATTGTCACATAAAAAAGTACAGGATCTTTTACTATCGAACGAAACATTTGATTTGGTAATAGTTGAACAGTTTGGAAATGAAGCACATATGGGCTTCGCGTCTCACTTCAGTGCCCCACTGGTGACTTTCAGTTCGATAGGTTTGTCAGAATGGAACTCCCATTTGGTAGGAAATATTAAACTGCCATCAATTGTACCATTCAGTCTCAGTTCTCACTCCAATCATATGAACTTCATTCAACGTGTGACTAATACGATGGCACATATTTTTGATGCTATATATAAAGAACTAATCTACTTTCCTTGGCAGCAATCGATGTTGGACAAATATTTTCCACAGAAAATGGATCTGAAAACAATCATGTTCAACACCAGTTTCATGTTGCTGAATTCTCATAGCATCAGTACCGAACCAGTGCAGTTAACCAGTTCAGTGGCGGAGATAGGAGGGTTTCATATAACTCCAAATGAACTTCCAAAAAGTGTACAAGAATTTTTAGATGGTGCTGAGAATGGAGTGATTCTGTTCAGTTTGGGATCTAATTTGAGATCAAGCGACCTACCGAGAGGAACTCTAGACATGATACTCGAAGTGTTCAGAAGAATACCACAACGAATAATCTGGAAATTTGAGGAAACCGATATTCATCATAAGCATGACAATGTAATGATATCCAAATGGATGCAGCAAAGCGATATATTAGGTAAAGTATATCGTAATAGGAAATCTTCTACTGATTTCATTTATAAAAACATTGGCTTATATTGTTTGTCACAATAGACAACTGTATTCATATTCACTGAACTATCGTGAATTAGAAAATTTCATAGTTCATCTCTTGTATAATACATTCTTCATAAGGTCTCAAATAAGAGGACTGTTCAAAAATAAGAATGTTGAAATTTTGCAGAATACATACATTCTATTAGCGATTTTGAATTTTTATATGTTGGTACACTTGTATGTTCAGAGTTTCAGCTGTTGGG